GTATGTATGTATGTATGTATGTATATATATATATATATGTGTGTGTGTGTGTGTGTGTATAGACGTTGCACATATATATATATACAAGCACATACACATACCCTGCACCATACATACTTACTCTGCACCATACACACGCCCTCTCACATCTACCACCATGCCCATCACCCACACAGGACTACCCCGTAGACCGTGACGAGCGTGTGCGTAAACTGCTCACCCGAGCAGAGTCCATGCATGAAGCCATGGGCCACCAGGCTCTCCTGCAACAGACGCCCTTGGCCTTCTGGATAGCCTTTCACTTCACATCGTGGAGACGGCTGGCCAGTGTGTTAGAGCTGATGCTCAACATTCTCATAGTGGCGTCAGGGTGCCACGGAGGCTCGGATTTTGAGCCTGAGTATGTGGCTGTGTGTGGCTGTGTGTGAGCATTGCGGTCGTGTTGCCCAAGTGCCTGAGTTAGCGATTGCTGTGCCTTAGTGAGTGGGTATAGGCGTCTATGTGGTGGTTGTGTTTTTGTATATATGTGTGTGTATGTGTGTGTGTGTGCGTGTGTGTGTGTGTGTGTGTGTGTGTATGTGTGTGTGTAACCTTGTCGTACCCCTTTGCACTATTCTTCGGCTTTTACCACGCCTGTTCTCTGCCCCTGTGTGTCCATATCAGTATGTTAGACTATCCTTACCCGCAAACTTTCAGCCAGACATGTCCCGTGACCTCTATAAACGGACCACAATTGCCCTGCACCTGCAGCGTGTGCACCGAGGACCACGTGCTGGGTGTGCTGCTGTACCGTCTCAAGTGCGCCCAGTTGCTCAACAGCGCTTTTGTCTTCATCGCCATTCTGCTGAAGACGCGTGGCAAGTGGTCGTACAATGTGTACTATGGCTTCATGCTGTATCTGAGCCTGGTGGGTTTCTACTGTGAAAACCTCGTCTACGCGTTGCTGCTGGTGGACCTTCTGCAGCGCTTCGATACGCTGATTAACGTGGCCAAGAGGTGAGAGGCTGCTAGTTTACGAACGACTATGTGAGTGAGAAAGACAGAGAGAGTCTGTTTGTTTTTATGTGAGAGAGCGAGTATGTGTGCTTATATGTGAGTGAGGGAGACAGAGAGAGTCTGTTTGTTTTTGTGTGAGAGAGCGAGTATGTGTGTTTTTATGTGAGTGAGGGAGAGGGAGAGAGCCTGTTTGTTCTTACGTGAGTGAGAAAGACAGAGAGAGTCTGTTTGTTTTTATGTGAGAGAGCGAGTATGTGTGCTTATAAGTAGGTGAGAGTCTGTTTGTTTTAATGTGAGTGAGAAAGACAGAGAGAGTCTGGTTTTTTTTATGTGAGAGAGCGAGTATGTGATGCATTGGATGTGCTGTGTGATGCATTGGATGAGCTGTGTGATGCATTGGATGTGCTGCTGAATCCTTCTAGCGCGTGCCACAGAGTTGACAGCACAGGCACATGTGGCCTGTACGCCGTTAGTAGTGCATGCACATACGCAGCCACACATACAACCCACCAGCTGGTGTGCGTGTATATGACCACGTGCAGTGTTTAATGCTCTGTTCAGTCCACCTTTGCCATGGCTGACTAACCTGCACATCCCACGAGGCGACGCCCTTGGCAGTGTTTTCGTTCTTTGTAGAATAAGGGTCTTGAATCCATACCTGATGTCCATATGTTATTCGTGCCCTATCTGCTTTTTTGTTGGTGTGTGTACGCTCTCATATCTTCATATTCCGTTCCTTGGTGTATTGTCGTGTGCCTGTGCCTATGTGCATACATATCTCTTTTCCTGCTTTCTCAGCCGTATGCATGGTCTGAGTCTCCGTACTTTACATGCCTACCTCATGTGCCTACCTCATGGGTCTACTGCATGTGGTTTTAGCCCACCTCATGTGCCCTGCTTAGAACTCATGGGTACCCTCCCGCATATCTACTACCCACACGGGTTGGTGTGCGTGTCACGTTCCCTCCCCCAACCACTACTCACACCTCTGCCTCCCATCCTCTCCTCGCCTGCATGACCCATATATATATATGTGTGTGTGTGTGTGTGTGTGTGTGCTCGTAGTGTGACGCGTAACTTCAGCAGTATAGGGCTGACCTTCATCTACGCTGTGGTCCTGGTGTTCCACTATTGCTGGGTGGCCCACACGTTCTTTGGCGATGACTTCGTCTCTGAAGTGCTCGTCCGTGTTCCCCCAAACGACACAGTCACAGGTACGTTGGCGCTGTCTTTTTGCGTGTTGTGAGTTTCCGGATATTTAGGTGCGAAAGTCTCTGTGTCGTAGTTGTAAATTCAAGTATCTTGATCACATGTACAGAGTATATATATGTATGTATATGTACTTATACAGAGCATGCAAGTATATGTATGTACTTGTACAGAGCATATAAGTATATGTATGTGCTTATACAGAGTATGTGTGTATTAGTATGTACATATACAGGATATGTATTTATATGTATGTATTTCTGCAGAGTTGGATGTTATATGTATGTGCTTATACTGGATATGTATGTATATGTATGTACTTATACAGAGTATGTATGTATATGTATGTACATATACAGAGATATTTATGTATATGTATGCACATATGCAGTAGTATGTATGTATATATATGTACCTATACATAGTATGTATGTATATCTATGTACTTATACAGAGCATGTATGTATATCTATGCACACATACATATTATGTATGTATATCTATGTACTCATATAGAGCATGTATATATATATATATATACTTGTACAGAGTATGTCTGTATATCTATGTACTTATACAGAGTATATTTATCAATATCTATGTGCATGTGTTGTGTTCATACCGTTGCCCTCGCCATGTGTGTTTCTGTGGTGGTTGTGGGTGCTACTGTTCCTTGTCGAAGTTTTACACTCATGCCTTCAATTGGACTTCGTGTGATTTGTAATAAGATCAACTGCGCCACTTTCATTATAGGCAAGTCCCGTGTCTTTGGATGCCTCCAAAGCAAACCCAACAAATCTAGGGTTAATCTAGGTTAAATTTATGGCCATTCTAGGGTTAATCTTAGGTGCTTCGTAGTGTCGCTTGTGTCCACTTAAATACACAACACATTGTTTCTCTTTGCTTGTATTGTGTCTAGTTGTTTGCACCTGAATAACTTGTTGAAGGCTTCCACGTGTCACACCACGTTGTGTTGGTACGTACTGATTCTCACTTCCTGGATGTGTTATTTGCAGACGCAACCTACAGCAGAGGAGAACTGACGACTGTGGTGGTGCGCAACTGCGACACTATGGCCGAGTGCATGGTCTTCACGCTCAACAACGGTCTAGAGTATGTTACTCTGTGGTTGTGCAGGTGGCGCTATATTTATATTTATATAAATATATATATATATATATATATGTACATATATATA